CAAACATTATAAACCTTTCACCAATTTCCAGCGACCTGCCCACGTTTTTTCGCATGTCTTCTTTTTTGAAATGTTCTGAGCACAAAAAAGTTGATTTTGTGATGAAGAATCCGTCCTTTCCATGCTGGCGCTTCAGGAGATTGCACCATCTGATTCACTGCTGGAAGTCATTCGGAAACGAGTAGAAATGCTGACCTGTTGGATTGCCTGTTGTGTCATAATAGCTATTAGCACAACAAAAAAGCGGCACAGTGTCTTCCTCTTCTTTTCGAAGAAGAAGGAGGAATATCCTGCGTAGGAAAAGTATCGTTCATTGTCGAAATATCTCGATGAAAAGGACAGAGTACCACCACATTTCACTAAACTCTCACTTGAACTCGCAACGCGACTCAACACTAACCTCGCTATCATGTTTGCGCGGTTACACATCCAATATGGCGCCGGGAACTGTAAAAAGGGCTATTAAAAAACATGTAATAAACATGAATAATTGTCTCTCCCTGACGCACTACTAGGAAAAGAAGTAAATACCCGCTTCAGCTTGCATGCTCAAGACAACGATTCTACCGTTTTTAAAGAAAAAGTGTTTGTACTTCAGATTCCAACCCCCCACCCCCTTCTTCAAGCTATTGGTTTAAGGAGAATTAAGCAAATAGTAAATTCAATATAAATGGGAATCTCGGTAAGGTCCAATTGTCCGATCAAAGCATTCGTTCGCCCTTTAGGATTTTACTGAAATGAATCCGACAGCTCACAGGGTTTACTATGCGTGGTACGTGTAATAAACGTTTCCTTTTCTGTTGTCTGACGGACGCCCGGAAGCCTGTGTGGTCGACTTAACTCCAAGTTGAAAGTCCAATTTGCCGGTAAACCAAGTATAGGCATCGAGAAATACATGCTCTGAAGTGCATAACTAAACTCTGAACAAGTGCTGTGAACGATAGTGATAGCCTGATCAGGAAATATTGCGTACGACCATTTGCAAACCCATAGTCTCAAAGCCAAGCATGAAAAGGATCTTTATAAACAGAAGATAAAGGGGTGACGGTTACCTATCAAAATGATTGCCGCACCATGACGTCATCAGCCGTGTCATCATGTCTCTTGTTACTCCACTCCCTCGCTCGTTTCGTGACAAGACATCACGTAGGTTATATTGTTGGGATCGTGTTTAATGCAGAGCTAACGTTGATAAACTTTATGACCGTTGATGAGCTTTGCTGTAGAATAAATGCGATTAAAATTTGACAGTTTCATCTCCAGTTCGTTTTTTTAATCATAAACATAAACGATTATCCCTGCTTCCTTGAAATTCGTGATTTTAAGAAAACAAAACAGACCTCAACCCTCGCCAACGACGTAGTAAGAGAAATAATTTTGAGCATTTTGTTGCTTTCAAAATCTGGGTGAGAGGGTGCATAATGGCTAAGGTAACTGGCGTCACGCGTACGGAGCCTCCAAACAATATTGGTCCGAACATGTTTCAAAGAGGAAGTCAGTCTGCTGGGCAAGCGCAGTTTTGTCCGGAAAGTGCTCATTATCATCTTGGTGAAAATTGTATCTGCAATCTTTTATTTTTACAACAGCGAAAGGCTGGGAGAGAAATAGATTTGCACCAAGGGGGTGCAAAAGGGGTCGAAAAGAAGGAGAGAGATAAGGGTGGGGCAATGAATATTTTGTAATAATAATAATATTTTTCGTCTTCCCCCCCCCCCTCCCCGGGAGCCTCTTAACGTTAACCAGTCGCCCTGAATAAGGCGCCGCGCCTACACTGCAGGCTACGAGGAAGTTTTAATCACAACCTTATTAGAGATGGATGCCATTGATCTTTTGTAAGTCCACTTAAATCGGAGACAGTTCTAACCTTTTTTTCGTGGTTAATAACTTTTTTTTATACGCCTCGCTTTTCATGAGAGCATAAAACCCTAATCACTACTGGCCATCAATTTGACCTCACCCGCCTCTGCTGATGACGAAGACAAATGTGATTATTGCCAAATATGTAACTTGAATTCATATCAGCAGCTGAGGTGTCAGTTTACGACACCCACAATGAAAGATCATGTTCTCGAAAGAAAGATATATAAATGAACGCATCGACGTCGAATTTTTATCTCCCAGCAAGAGCATCCAACAGAGCGTAACAGTTTTCGGTTTTGGAGAAGCGAAACAGGATTAACAATGCTGCGTTTAGTTCTACTAGCAGTTTTTCTGCAAATGAGCGAATGCATTTTAACATCAGATGGACTAACTCAACCCCCAGGTATGATCATTTTTAAGGCAAATCGTGAGTCCCAATCGATCGATTTTTGCCGGAGTACCCCTTAATCAAAGTCATAACCCGCACTACCGCGTTTTGGGAGGTCAAGACAGTCACTTATTTCTATGTAACGCTTGCAACAAAGCTAAAACTCTTCACCATCTAAATTTTTTGCTCTTAGCCCCAGGTCAACTGCAAGGAAATTCCACGACATCAAAAGAGGAAATCTCGGCCTTTCAAGCGATCGAACAGGCCAACAATGCCGTTGGAAACTTACGAAGTAAGCACTGATTTTCATAATTTACTCATTTTCAGCTTGCCACTTATCTGCTTTACCCTTAGACTTTCTCAAAGTCGTTCGCTTGGTTTTCTGTTCTGGTGTGGTAGGACCCGCTTTCGCTCGCTCGGCTCGGCTCGCTCGCGCCACGCGCTCACTGTCGCGCTAAGAGCTCAAAAGCGCGACTTGTGAGCAAGTCTACCTTACCCTCACCAGTATCCAATCTTATAAACTACGGCATTGTGGTTTTTTCTTTAAAAAATATCCTTTGTGCACTAAACCAAGTTATTACAGCGTGACTGAGATCATTATGTGCGGGCTTACCGTTTATGTGAACCGCACAACTAAATGGTGAGCTCGCTGACTCGTGCGACTATAACTGCGGTTTTCATTTCAATTTATTAATTTTTAAAACTTTTTAAGTGAATGACAGAAGCGGACTTTTCTTACACGAGGGAGATATCGAGCTAACAGGCTGGCAACGGAAAGTTATTAAAAAGCAGAACTCAGGCGGGCGACAGAGGCGCGGTGCTATGAGAAGTCTTTCTCGGCGGTGGATGGATCCGAACGGTCGTCCTTTGATTCCCTACTACATCGAAGGCAGTGTGGGTGAGTGTCTGCTCAGAAATAAATTTAAAATAATGGGTACTCAAAGTAAGCAAATTTTTATTTTTCTCATTCTTCGCGTAATCAACCCATTGGGGCGTAGGCAATGTTTCCAGCGGGGGAGTGGGGAGGGGGGGTGGTCAGAACACTAGCATATAAATTGAGCTGATCACTTTCCATGTAACCTTACATCTCCCACCACCGGCTTTCCATTCTTTACACCCTTACGTTTCAAGCATTGGTTGAAATCAGCTTTCATATTTTTTATCCTTTAGAAAAACGAAAAAGTAAAGACAGCAAAAAGGATATGTTAAATTCAGAAAAGATAGTGGCGTGAAAATCATGTGTGATTCTGGGATGTCCTTAAAATTTGCGTTTCTCGTGAATTTTTACTCGCTATCGCGTCTTCACAGTATCGGTTTTGAAACATAAGGGTGTGGATTTGTTTTGTTGCAGCACATGCCCGCGGTGTCATAGATCAAGCCATGAGGCATTGGATGAGTAAAGTTCCTTGCCTGAGGTTCGTTCGAAGAACAACTCATCGTAACTACATCAGCTTCTTTTCTGGAGGAGGGTAAGGAAGACTCAATTACTTTGAAGGCCAGGTCACTTAGAAAACGTCAGGAGCGCTGTTTGACATATTTTTTTCCTCTAATATTTGTGATTTTTCATTTAACAGCTGCTACTCCATGGTGGGGCGAGTTGGAGGAGGACAAAAGATTTCCATTGGACGGGGCTGTAATCACATTGGCGTGGTCGTTCACGAAATTGGTGAGTGGATAAGAAAAAAGCTGAAGATGTTTAATCCATTTACCGCAAAAGTCTGACGAGAATTGAACCTTTTATATCGAGAAATCTGATTGTCTTCTTAAGATTATTTTGGTTTTGATAAACGAAGCTCATCAAGAAAGCCTTTGAAAAAAATCATTATATTTCCTACTGTGTACTTTTCAGGTCATGCTCTCGGGTTCTGGCACGAGCAATCCCGTCCCGATAGGGATCGTTACATCAACATTCACTGGAACAACATTCCAAGTGGTAAGAGAAATAGACCATGTAATCAAAAGCAAGAGAATATCGACAGTTGATATTCTCTTGATCAAAAGCTATCATCCTTGCGGCCATCAAATTTGCTAACTCTAGATAGTGCCGGAAAACGGAACATTTTTCATCGATATGTCAAGGCTCAAAAGATTTGGGTAGTTAAATTTATAATTCAATTTGAAACATGATTTTTTCTGTTGCCCTGTAATTACTAAAACGTCAACATAGTTCCGTTCCACGAACGAAAACATACACATTTCCTCAACCTTAATCCAGTATTCCTTTCACCAGGAGTCCGCTCCCAATTCTCGAAGATGTCAACGAGCTCCATCAACTCGCGCGGAATCTCGTATGATTACGACAGCGTAATGCATTACCACTCTACTGCGTTTGGCAATGGACGCATAACTATCACACGAAAAGATGGAAGCACCAAGCTGGGAAATACTCGAGGTTTGAGTGCCAAGGATGTTCAACAAGCAAACTTGATGTACTGCAACGGACAACCCACAAACCGACCAGTAACTGCAAGACCACCCACAGGTACTTCTTACTTTCGCTTGGCTATGGTTTCAGCCTTAATGTGTTCCCTATACCACAAAGTAATGAAAAGATCTGATGAAATAAAATTTTAAAAAAAAAAAACACAAAAAGGCGAAGTTTCACTAAATCTCGGTGAAAGTTCTATTTCAAAGGGAAAACTTAAAAGGAATAAACAGATTAGCTAACTTACATTTTGACTTAGAAAAATCACATTATTTTCCAATCAAGAGATTATAAACTTACAATATGTCGGTTCCAGTGCATTTCGCCAACTTATTACCCCATCAGCCATCAGCCTTTTTTGCGACTTCCCCACTAATATCACTCTGTTAGTATCTGCTAAGTTGCTGTATCCTGCAGTCACAGATGTTTATTTTAATCAAGTGATCCACTTTCATCAACAGGTTGTCGATACAGAGACAATAATTCCAATTGTCCAGCTTGGAAATCCAGGGGTTACTGCACGCACACATATCGGGCGTATATGAGACTAAACTGCCAAAAAAGTTGCTTCTGCGGAACAAGTAAGTCAATTTTCTTCCTACCCTATCCAATTTTACAATTTTCACGAGTTCAGTCCGTATATAAAAGCTACACAACCTATGCATTTAATTATTTAATGACCATTACCAGCAATTTAACTGACACAATGTGTAATTTTGAGCCTGTCTTATTCTGAAAATAGTATCGACCCTTCTCTATTGTTCACTCATTCGTTACTTATTCATTTTCCATGTTCACCAATTTGAGAACTAAACGATGATACCATTTAATCCAATGAATGACCGATCAATCTATTTATTGATTAATTAATAAATTATTGATCGGTTAACTGTTTCCACAGACACAAACTGCCGCAACCTTCATCGAAACTGCCCAGTATGGAGGCAAAGAGGATTCTGTCGGCGAAACTCGCAGTACTACACCTACATGTCAACTAATTGTAAACAGTCATGTGGCTTATGCTAAACCAGCTAAGTTTGCGGTGCAAGAATTGTATCATAAATAAGTATTTTTTTAAAAGAAAAGAATGTTGAATCACTCGAAGCAATTTTTTTCTTATCATAAGTTTTTCTGTGCATTAAATAAAAATTTAACTCTTTTACATGACCTAGTTTCTTTTCATTTTGTCCTTTCCAAGAGAGAAGTAATAGTCAATAGATATTTGTGAATTGTTAACGCTGCAAAGATGAGGTCATATGGTAGATGCAGAACATGAAAATGACACTTTGGTTTATTTGTCTAGAAATATATATATATATTTTTAAATAAACAGACTAGGAGAAGTCGTGGCTGTGAAAAAGTGCTCGATGCAGGTTGCAGAGCGTTTCAATAGCGGTTATAAATTAATGACAGGAAGATCGTTTCACCGTTACTCTGAGTTTCACGCAGCTTGCGCTGCAATCGTCAGACGGTTTTTATTATCGATGGAAAACATACCGTGCTATAAAGTCAATTTATAAATAGAAATTATAGTTAAAATAATAGGAAGCAATTAAGAAGACAAAAGGACTGTTTCTATTGGATTCTATTATAATGAGGCACAATCAGAAAATCCTGAACCCCCCCTCGACCAGTCAAGACCGCAAGTACAACTGCAGAGTAAAACAAGCCTGTCCCTTACAGAACAA